TTTATGAATGGGTGAAATGTTCTGTAAATATTGGTTAGACCCATCTGATCTAGTGTGTTATTTAAAGCCTCTGTTTACTTGTTAATTTTTTGTCTTGAAGATCTATCCAGTCAAGTCAGTGTGGTGTTAAAGTCCCCAACTATGACTGTATTGCTGTCAGTCTCTCCCTTAAGGTCCATCAAGAGTTTTTTAATGTACTTCATTGCTCCTATATTGGATGCATATATGTATATAAGGGTTCTACTTTCTTATTGAATCATTCTGTTTAGTACAATGAAGTGGCCTGCTTTGTCCGATATGAGTATTACTATTCCAGCTTTTTTTCCCTTTCCATTTGCATGGAATATATTTTTCTAGCCCTTCATTTTAAGTCTGTGTGTATCTTTTTTGTTCTGAGGTGAGTGTCTCATAGACAGCACGTATATGGGTCATGTTTTCTTATCCATTCAGTCACCCTATGTTTTTTGAGTTGAGCAATTAATCCATTTACATTTAAGGTTATTATTGGTAGGTATTTATTTATTGCCATTTTTATTTTCTTTATGCCTATGACCCTCTCTCTCCTTTTCTTCTTCTTAAAGCAGTCCCTTTAACATTTCTTGCATTGCTGATTTGGTGGTAATGTACTCCTTTAACATCTTATTCTGTGGAAAGTTTTTATTTCACCTTCAATTTTATATGATAGCCTCGCTGGATACAGTAGTCTTGGATTTAGGTCATTGCTTTTCATTTCTTCGAGTACTTCATGTCACTCCCTTCTGGCCTGAAGTGTTTCTCTTGAGAAGTCAGTTCCAATGGGAACTCCTTTGTATGTAATTTTCTCTCTCTCTTGCTGCCTTTAAAATTCTTTGTCTTTAACATTTGCCATTTTATTATTTTTTAGTCCTTACCTCAGGATACTTTTCCATTGATTTTTAGAGAGAGTGGAAGAGAGAGGGAAAGACAGGAATATTGATGTGAGATAAACACATCAATTGGTTGCCTCCTGCATGTGCCCCAACCAGGGCCCAGGCCGGGGTGGAGCTGCAATGAGGTGTGTGCCCTTGACCAGAATTGACTTGGGACCCTTCAGTTCGCAGGCCAATACTCTATCCACTGAGCCAAACTGGTAGGGCTAACATTTGCCATTTTAATTATGATGTGTCTAGGTGTGGGTCTCTTTGGGTTCATCTTGGTTGGGACTCTCCATGCCTCCTGAACTTGTATGACATTTTCCTTCACCATGCTGAGGAAATTTTCTGTCATTATTTCTTTAAACAGGTTCTCTGTTCCTTGCTCACATTCTTTCCCTTCTGGCATTTCTATAATGTGGATGCTTTTATGTTTCATGGTGTCTTTAGATCTCCCTTAAGCTATCTTCCTGCTTTTTGATTCTTTTTTCTATTTACTGCTCTAATGGGTATTCATTTCTACGTGTATTCCAAATTGCTGATCCCTTTCCCTGCTTCTTCCAATCTGCTTTTAATCCATTCCAGGGTGTTTTTCACATAAGATATATCATTATTCATTTCTGCCTGGTTCTTGGACTCTATTTCCCTTCTCATGCTGTTGTAATTTGCACTAAGTTCCTTAAGCACCTTTATAACCATTGCTTTGAACTCTATTTCTGATAGGTTTCTTGCCTCCATCTTGTTTAGTTCTTTTTCTGGCAATTCCTTCTTTTCTCTCACTTGGGGTTGTTTCTTTGTCTCCCCATTTTAGCTGTCTCTTTGTATTTGCTCCTATGTACTAGATAGAACTGCTGTGCCTCCCAGTCTGTGGGATGGGCTTACATAGAGGTGTCTTAAGGGGTCCAGTGGTGTAGTCTCTTTGTTTAAATGAGCTGGATGCTCTAGGAATGTTCCTTGTGTGCATTGTTTGGGCTCTCCTGTAATTGGGACTTGATTGTTGATGTCCTGTTTGTGGGAGGGATCTCCTCTCTGACTAGCTTCCAGTTTCAATCCCAATGTCTTCCTGCCACCTGTCTAGTGGTCGGAGACTCCTTAGCCCAGAGGCTGGGTCTGCCTTGAGCCTCACACTTTGGTTGACCCTGTTCTGAGCTGTACTTCCTTCCCCACGGAGCTGGTCCTGCTGGTGTCACCTGCAGGCACTTGGGGTCCTGCTGGCTTTTGCTTTCCTGAGCAGTCTGGGATGGTGTCTGTGGTGGCGACCAAACTGCTGTTTTGACTAATTAGATCATTCAAAGACTCAAAGCCTCTAGAGAACCACCTCTGTCTGCAAACTGATTGGATTCAGTCTTGAGTAGCCTCAGGCAATTGACCACAGTTTGGGTGAAAGGTTTTCCAACAGGGTGGGACAACTGCTCTGCCTGTAGGCTAATTGTTATTCTCAGTCTCTTAATGAGCCTCAGAAACTCCACAGGGTGAGGCAAGGGGCTTTCCAATAGGTGGGCCAACTGTCTCCCCCCCCCCCAACCCTCAGGCACAAAACACCTGGATAGCAAATGTCTGTGTGAGAAAGATGACCTCCACAGCATGAGGGAATGACTCAGTACAGGAAACTGGGGTGTCTACCTTCTGAGGTCTAGCCACATAGCCCACACCCTGGCTTCTGCTCAGCTTCAGTCCACTCTGTCCTTCCTCTACCAGAGCCCAAGGTGAGTGGCTGCACATGGGATTTTGTGCACTGGCCCTTTAAGAGGGTCTTTGCATTTCTACCCGTCTCTCCCTGGCACACAGCAACCCTGCTGCTTTTCACAATCAGATGTTATGTGAGCACCTTTCTCAGTTCTGGTGCTCTCTACTGGGGGGCCCACTTTAGGGTTTAGACCCCAGAGTTCTCAGTGGCACCCCCCTCCCCAAGCTGAGATCTCTCTCCAGACCTTCAGCTGCTGTCTGTGGGTGCCCAGCCAGCCCTTTCACACCTCCGCCCCTCCTGCCAGTCTCTGTGTGGTCTCCACTTTCCGTCCTTGGTTATCAGGGTTCTCTCCAGCTGGTCTTCAGTTGGTTATTCAGGAAGTTTTTCTGTATTTTAGTTGTATTTCCAGTTTGGTCCTGGGAGCATGTCTGTGAGCTTCCACTTAATCCACCGCCATTTTTAATCCCTACATATATCCTTTTTATTCTCTCTCTTTTTAAATATATTTTTATTGATTTCAGAGAGGAAGGGAGAGGGAGAGAAATAGAAACATCAATGATGAGAGAGAATCATCTATCAGCTGCCTCCTGTACACCCCCTACTGGGGATCGATCTGGCAACCTGGGCGTGTGACCAAAATTGAACCCTGGAGCCTTCCGTCCACAGGCTGATGCTCTATCCACTGAGGCAAACCAGCTAGGGCTGTTTTTTTTTTCTTTTATTAAGTAAGTGATAGCATATGCTTTGTTCTGCAAGTTGCTTTTTGCCTTGAATAAATTTTGGTGATTTTTAGTTCTACCTCTTTCTGTTGGTGGCTACATATCATTTATCCATTCCTTCACTGAACATGTGTCCTGCCATGTCCTGGCCCATGAGAGCACATCTACACTAATAAAAGACAAAGATGCTAATTGACTGTACCTTTGCTATGCATTAAGCCACGCCCACCAGCCAATTAGAGCAACTATATGCAAATTAGCCCAACCAAGATGGCGGCTGGCAGCCATGGAGCTGGAGCAAGCAGGAGGCTTGGTTACCCCGGCAGTGGAGGAAGCCAAGCTTCCCGCCTGCTATAAGCCAGCTGTGGCCTCCCCTCATGGCAATAAAGTTTCAATTATAGAAGACAAATAAACCCCAGATACCTGCTTCCAGCCAGCCTCCACTGGGAGCTTGGGTGGCTGGGGGCCATGGCCAGCCTGCAAACAGCCATCAGCCCCTCACCCAGGCTGGCTAGGCACTCCTATATAATAAAAGGGTAATATGCAAATTGACCCTAACAGCAGAACAACTGGGAATGACTGGTCACTATGACACTATGACACATATTGACCACCACAGGGCAGATGCTCAATGCAGGAGCTGCCCTCTGGTGGTCAGTCTGCTCCCACAGGGGGAGCTCTGCTCAGCCACAAGCCAGGCTGATGGCTGCCAGTACAGTGGTGGTGGTTGGAGCCTCTCCCGCCTCCTCAGCAGCACTAAGGATGTCCGACTGCAGCTTAAGCCTGCTCCCCACTGGCAAGTGGACATCCCCCGAGGGCTCCCGGGCTGCCAGAGGGATGTCTGACTGACAGCTTAGGCCCACTCCCTGGCGTATCGGGCCTAAGCCAACAGGTGGTCATCCCCTGAGGAGTCCCAGACTGTGAGAGGGCACAGGCTGGGCCGACAGACCCCCCACCCCCGAGTGCACAAAAATTTGTGCACCGGGCCTCTAGTGTACTATGATTTACTTAGTTGTTTCTAGGTCTTGCCCTTATTGATATAGCAGTGAACATCCTTGTACCTGTGATTCCTTGTAGATTTGCCAAGTCAGGATACCCACCTTTTAATTTTTTTAAAATATGTTTTTATTGATTTTAGAGAAAGGAAGGGACAAGGAGGAGAGAGATAGAAACATCAATGATGAGAGAGAATCATTGATCAGCTGCCTCCTACACACTCCCTCCTGAGAATCAAGCCCAAAACCCGCGCATGTGCCCTGACTGGGAATCAATCTGGTGACCTCTTGGTTCATGGGTGGACACTCAATCACTGAGCTGCACCAGCCGGGCCCACCTTTTAAATTTTGATGGAAACCAGCAAGTGGCCTTTTAAAAGGTTGTGCCAATTTTCTCGTTGACAACATGAAATTGCTATGAACCACACCTGGATATTATAATTTTAAAGATTTATTTATCTGGTTACCAGATTTGGCCATGTCACTTTAAAAAGGTGCTTGCTGCTGCTTCCTGCTCATGTAGAGGCTGGGCCGGCAGCCACATGGTAACCTCAGAGGAGGGCCAAGCACCCACCCCAGCTGGTGAGGGTGTGTCCCAGAGGTGGTGATACCTGCTGGGACTCTTATCATCCCAGCCACTTGGGCTTGTGCTAAAGTCACCTCAGTGCTGCTCTCAGTCCCATCATGGACACGTGTGGTTTCTTCACAGGTGGCAACTGGGAAGTGGAAGCAGATCAGTAAATACTGTCCCCTCGATCTCTACTCGGGGTAAGAGACCGTCTTTGTCCCTAGTGCCATCTTCCCTGCAGGAGGGGTGGTTGGGGTGTTCTGTGAGGAGTCATGGGGGTGTCCTGTGAGGGGTCATGGGGGTGCTTTGCCAGGCGGGTGGAGACAAGGTGCTCCTCCCCTGAGAGTGGAGACCCACAGCCTGTGCACCAGGTGCCCCAGCCACAGCTTGGCCACAGGCAGGGACTGCAAGACCTGCTACTGACCCTGCGCATCGTCCTTTCCGTTTTAGAAATAAGCAGAGAATGTACTTTGCCTTGAAAAGCTTGTTGCAGGAGGCACAGAACAACTTGAAGATATTTAAGGTAAGAGTTGCTTCTGTGCTGTGGCTCTCCCACAGTGGAGCCCGCCATGCCGGGCTGAGCGGTGCACCCTGCTCTGCTCCCAGCCGGGCGGACACACAGGGTGGTCCTTCCGAGAGCATCCAGGTGGAGCCCCGCCCCCAGGGGTGGGCTCCCGGACCCAGGTGCCTGGGCTCCAATCAGCCCCGACCTGGGTCTGGGGTGAGGACAGGCCTGGGTGCCGCTGAGGCCTGGCTGGCATCTGCCTTCCCAAACCTGGAGAAGGGCGACCCCCAAAGTCAGTCTGTGTGTTTAATTCTTATAAGGACTTGAGGAACTCGATGTTTGAATTAGAGGATAGATTTCTTTCCATCGGGGGACTTACCTGGAACCTGTGGCCAGGCTGGCATTCTGTCTGAGGTGGCCTTTCTGGCTGCCCTGCCAGCTGGGCCCCGGACAGCTTGTCCTGCCCTGCGCCTCAGACCTGGGCCGTCTGCTGCTTCTGTTGCCATCAGCACGAAAAAAATCTAGAGTTTGGGAGAATTGTCTCAAAAGGGGTGGATTAAGAGAAGGTACACAGCATGGCTTTTAAAAATAACATCTGGAGCAATGCAGTTCGTTTCCTCAAGTGCCGTCACCTTTTTTAAATTTTATGTTTTTATTGACTTTAGATAGAGAGAAACATGGATGAGAGAGAAACATTGATCGGCTGCCTCCTGCACGCTCCCTCCTGGGGATCGAGCCCGCCACCCACGCGTGTGCCCTGATGGGGAATGGATCCTGTGACCTCTTGCTCATGGGTCAGTGTTCAACCAGTGAGCCACCCTGACGCGGCCCAGGTGCCATCACTTCTGAGCAAGCTGAGGTGCTGCAGGTCTCGCCTTCCATGCCGCGCCGCTCCCGGTGTGGAGCAGTTTCCTGGCCACACTCGGCACCGCCATCCTACTGTTCGTGTTCGTCCGCATGTTGTTCGTAGACTCCATGACTGTGGCTCTGTCCACCCCAACACTGGTCACTTGTGAAACTTTGGGGGGACATGTGGAGTGACATGGAGCCTGAGTTGATGGCTCTCCTCCAAAAGTCACATGAGGTCCTTAAGCAGCTGTACCTGTGGGGGTAAAACTCCATGCCCTCCGACTTCAGATGCTGCGGAGAAGAGGTCTTCCGCCTCTGGGCTTGCTCAGCCCTCCTGGGCTGGGAGGGGGACCAGCCTCACGGGCCAGTGCTGCCACCGCACTGGGCCTCGCACTGGGCCTCAGGCTCAGTCCAGGCCTCCTGGTGCCAGCTCAGCACATCCTCTTGGCCTGTTTTCCTCCTGGGAACTGTTGCCTGCCCTTGGCCTGGCACACCCTGCTCCGCAAAAGGCCCATCTCAAGGGTGTCTCTTATGGCTTCCCTGGCTTTGGCTGGTGGTGGCCTTCGTTGTGTCCCCATCACCTTGGACACCCACTGAGCTCTGGCAGTGCCAGCAGGGCCTCCTGGGGAGGCTGCATCGCGTTGGTTCCCAGGACTTTGCTGAGGGAGGCACACCTGTCTGCACGCCTGTGGGTTGACTTGGCCACGTGGGGGGGGGAAGGAATGGC